TATATATATAGTAGCTATTGACTTTTGCAAAAGTTTCAAGAATTCCTTAGGCTCTAATATGCATCTCCCACTTCTGCTTTTCTTCTTTTTCCTTCTCTTTTTTTGTTTTTTTTTCTTTTCTTTTTTTTGCTATAAACAGAAAGTTTTGAACTACAATCTAAAGCTCAATTCGAAATCCGACAGAAAATTGCAAGCAAAAAAAAAATTATATTAATAGAAATTTGTTCAGGCTCCGTTCGCTTCGATTATTGCGATTGCTACGATAGCTTCGATAGTTGCGATCGCTTCTATTGCTCCTCCACGCTGATGGTGATGATCATGGTTGGTCAATAGTGTCCGCCACCACCGCCGGCACCGCCCCCGCCGCTGTGCCTGTGGTGCTCGCGCCGCCCGGCGGACTGATCCCTATCGCGATAGTCGCCGTTGCGTGAGCTGCTCTTGTGATGATGGTGATGATGGCGCTTCTTCTCGCCCTTCAGGCACACATCCGAGACGACCATCTCCGAGTTGTCGCGCATGCCGTAGTTGTCCCGGCCGCATCTGTCAATGATAAGTTATACATATTTAGTTTTGAATTTTTGTGAATGAGTGTGAATCGTAGCCTTGAGCTTAACATGAACTTTGACATACAGTTTGACATTCAGTTTAACTATTTGTCGGTCTGTCACTGTTTATTTTAGATAGTATTATTTAGTTCTTGACTGAAAGCTGAGCATGTACTTTGACATCTATTTTAACATGAAGTTTAATATACAGCAGTATATGTCATTTAGCTGATAATTTGGAATTTAATATAGATAGTTTTGGAATTCACATTTAATCTGCAGTTAGAGGTAGTATAGGAATTACAGGATGTGCAGGAAGTACTACCAGACAGTTAAACATGTAGTAAAGCATTATATCATCAATATGCTTGATTTTGAACTTACCATGAGCTTTAGCAAGTGTCTTGATATATACTTTGGAAAAAAAATCACTTTGAAAATAAATTTGACAAATAGTTAAACCAGTAGGAGAGCTTTATATCATCTACCTGCTTGAATTTAAAATTACCATGCACTTTAGCAAGTACTTTGACATATACTTTTTTGCATTTTGACAGATAGTTAAATATATAATCATATCCTCAATTTAAATTTAACATGCACTTTAGCAAGTACTTTGACATATACTTTTTTGCATTTTGACAGATAGTTAAATATGTAATCATATATCTTCCTCAATTTAAATTTAATATGCACTTTGGCAAGTACTTTGACATATACTTTTTTGCATTTTGACAGATCTTCCTCAATTTAAATTTAACATTTAACACTTTAGCAAGTACTTCTATAACGCTCACTTCCAGAGCACTGAGCATAAGCTGTCTTGACAGTTTTTCCACCTGCCATGCTCTGGTTAGTCTACTCACCTATCCAGATTCTCGCGGGAGCGTTGCATATTGTCGCGCAAATTGTCGCGAGAGCGCGTCATGCTGGGCGGATCGAGCGTCTCCTTGCGGCGCAGCGCATTGTGTGAGCTGTTCTTTGAGGCGGATTCGTGCAGGTTTTCCCACGCCTGGCGATAGTATCTAGAGAGGGAGAGAGATGGCAAACGCTTTAGCGGTGAGTATTTCGAGTGGGTTTGATTGAATAACAAACCTATTGAGGCCATTGCGGGAGCCGGAGGTGGAGCTATCGAAGCTGGCGACCGTGTTGCAGTCGGGTGAGGCGCGATGGCGATAATGCTGTGTGGTGCGGTTTCTAAGAGAGCGAGATAGAGAGAGAGCGAGAGACAAAAAAACGAGAGAAGAGAAGAAATATTTAGATTAGTTAACTTTCAGAGTTAGAGCGACAAGTGCAGAGGACACTACGAGGAACAAAACTAAAGGATGTTAGTTACACAAAACAGACAAGGAAAAATAGAACACACAAAGACAGAGCAAGAGAGAGAGACAGAGAGATAGTAGGTGAGATAGAGAGAGAGAGAGAGAGAGGTAAATAGAGTGTGCAGGAGATTAGATACAAATAACATACAACAAAGTGAGCAATACAAATGAAATGAAAGAGAACGACGGAAAGTGCGTGCAGTGTATGAAAGAGAGAGATAGACAGACGAAGAGAGAAATAGAAAGGGAAGAGACAGAGAGAGACAGAGATATATATAGAGAGAGAGAAAGTGCAGGCGACTGTATGAGTGTGTATGAGTGTGTGTGTATATATGTGGGTGTGGCCCGACAACAGCTTGAGTTTGATTGACTGATTGATTGATTGCTTGATTGATTAATGATTGATTGATAGCGGGCAGCCCTCACAGCATTCATTTCCGAAGCTCCAAATATGCTTGCTATTGTTGATTGACTGATTGATTGAGCCTGTTGACTGAGCGTGTTTTGTATATTGTGTGGAGAGTATGTGTGTTCTTGTTGTTCTTGTTGTTGGCTGCTTACATTTGTGTGTTAATATGGCCGTGTTGCGGTTTCGTTTCGATTGACTGAGTTGATTGATTGAATTGCTTTGATTGAATTGCTTTGATTGATTGTAGCTCGTCTTTGGCACACGTTCACATTACGTTCGCAGGTAGTCTTCGGTTTTGGTTGCTTCATTTCACATCGTTTCGTTTCGTTTCACATCGTTTCGTTTCATTTCTATTTCATCATTTCACTTCTTTGGTTTGAGCTAGTCTCCTCTCGCTCGTTGTTCTTAGGTTGTTTCTTTCTTTCTCTGTGTCGCTCTGTCTCTTTCACATGTGATTGCTGCTAAAGAGACCCGCTCGCGCCCTATAGCCACGCCCATAGGTGCTCAGCTCCCGCCTCGCCAGCTTCTGGTCCTCGAAGGGGAGCGCGAGGACGCTGTACCACAGCGACGCTGGCGCCTCGCCGCGCGTGCTGGAGCTAATGCTGCCATAGCCATCGCCGAAGAGTCGCATGTGGTAGCCGCCGAGCAGGCCGCCACCGGCACCACCTGCACCACCTGCACCACCCTTGCTGCTGCAGCGCGTCAGCTGCGCTGTCGAGGCATAGCTGGTGGCGCTGGTGGCTGTGGCTGTCGCATAGCTGGGCAAACGGTTGGGTGGTGCAGCACGGTGGTGCGACTGCGACTGCGACTGCGGCTGTTGTTGACGTTTGTGGTGCGGATGGGATCTCGACTGCTGCTGATGATGCGGGTGGAGCTGATGGTGCCGCTGGTGGTGATGGTGGTTGTGTTGATTGTAATTGGTAAAATGTTTGGCGAGGTGGCGCCGTTTGCTGTTCGGGGTGCTGACGAATGATATTTGCCGAAGAGACAGAAGAGAACGAAAACGAAAACGAAAAAAGAGAGTTGTACAACAAAAGAAAGAGAAAGCGTATCGATGTATGTGTGTGTGTGTGTGTGTGTGAGTGAGTGTGTGTGAATGTGTGTGTGTGAGTGGTGCAAGTGTGCGTTGGACTGAGAGGCAGAAAGAGAGAGAGAGAGAGAGAGACAGAAGGAGAGAGAGAGAGAGTGAGCGAGTGAGAGAGGGAACTCTGCTCTACACTGTGAATATGTACAAAAATGGGAGATATACAAATGAGAGAGAGTGCAGGAAAGAGGGAGAGCTTAAAAGCTGGATGAGATAGAGAATGATAGCGAGAGAAAAAGGGACAGACAGCCAGAGTGAGAGATAGAGAGAGAGAGAGAGAGAGAGAGAGAGAGAGAGCAAGGCCAGTTATAGTAGGTGGAGAAGACAACAACATCAACATCAACGACAACAACAACAAATCGCATTTTGAGTTTGTGAGCGAACAACACTGGAGTGGAAGCAGTTACAATTACAGGGTATACAGTTGGAAATGGGGTATATAGTTTGGTGTCAATTTTTGTGTGTTTCTTATTTTATTTTTTAAAAAGGGAACTTAAAATATTAATAAAACTAATCTAAAATCTTAGCAAAGCGCAGTCTATTAGCCTCTCTATTGGTTATGTAAGACCTGTCTCAAGACCTGACTCAAGATTTCTTCATATATATCTCAAAAAAGTAGAATTTCAATAGCTGGTTAATACTTTAATTCAATTCAATTAAAATTTGAATTAATTTTCATTTTAATATTCAGCTTTTCATTCAATTTATATTTCAATTTAAACTTAAGTCTCTTTAACTGAAAAGTGAATATTTGAATCTCTATTTTCAATTTATGCTTATCATATCTGCATTCAATATCTATATCCAATTTCAATTTAAATTTAAATTTAAAAATGCAGCTTCGGCCTTTCATTTCTTCATTCAATTTCTGCATTCAATATCTACTCTCAGTTTCAATATCTATATTCAATATCTGCTCTCAATGTACATTACAATTTATGCATTCTATTTCAGCTTTCAATATCTGTATTGAATTTCCGCATTCAATATCTATATTTAGTATCTGCTTTCAATTTCCATTTCGACTTTAAAATTCGAGCTGCAAAATGAAAATTCGTATTTTAGTTTCTGCTCTTCAATGTCTCCTTTCCGCTTTCAACTTGAATATCTATTCAATTTCGCCTTCAATTTCGACTGCTTTTTCTGCTCGAATTCGAATTTCAATCAAGTTTCAATGGACTGTCTTGGCACTCACCTTCTGACCAGGATGACGATCGTCGTGATGACAGCAGCCAGGAAAACGAAGCCACCAAAGGCACCCAGAGCCACAATCGCTCCAAGATTGAGCTTGGCCTCTTTGGTCTCCTTGCGATCGGGATTGTCGACGGCAAACGGCACGTTGACATTGGGCGATTGATTCTGGCGAATGTTGACGCTATCGGCAATCTCATTGTCCTGCGGATGCGAGTTGAGGATGATCTGCTGCGTATTCCGCGTGGTCGTCTCCAGCGTGGGTCGAGTACGCGCCGGCGTCGGGGCGTAGGTGGACACGGGTCCAGGCGCATGTTGGGTGGTGCTGCTGCTGCTCGAGCTGGAGCTGCTGGTGCTGTAGCTGGTGGGTGGCGTGCTGCTGGGCTTCTTGGGTATGAGCACGGGTCGAATGGTGCGCCGGGGCGGAAACTCTTCGCGCACAGTACCCGGCACCGGCACATTGACAATGTCCTCATCGGAGTCGACTGCAATGGGAGGAGAAACACAGATGATGCTACCTCTATCTCTCTCTTTCTCTGGCTCTCTGCTCTCACTCACCTTCGCCATTGATCTCCACCTGTGGCGTGCTGTGTGGATAGCTGGCGACTGTGCTGGGCGTGGCACTGCTGCTGCTGCTGCTGGTGCTGATGGGCGGACGATAGGCGGGCGTGCGACTCGTGCTGGCCGTGATCTTGGGCCTAAACGGCGGCAGCGAGGACGTCGAGGCCGTCGAGGGCGGTGCGGGTGGCGTGGCCAGCGTGGAGGGCTCCAGTTTGATGCAACGCGGCAAAGCGCTGCTCCACTGGCCCGTGGCCAAGCAGCTGAGCACACGCGGTCCCTCCATGCGATAGCCAGGCGGGCAGCTGATCTCCGCCTTGGAGCCGTAGTAGGTGCCGTTCGGAGCGCTAATGATCGTGTTGTAATAGTTGCCCGGCAGCGTATCACACTCGACAACTGAGAGAGAGAGAGAGGGAGAGAAGGAGAGAGTGGGAGAGGGAGAGAGTGAGTGAGTGAGTGGGAGATCGAGGTAGCGGTAGAGGTGAGTCTTACTCTCGCAGCGTGGCGGCGGTCCGTTCCAGCGCTCGTCAAAGTCGCAGGTCAGCAGCGCGCGTCCAATCATCTCGTAGCCTTCGTCGCAGGCATATTTCACCAGGCTGAGGTAGCCGACGGTGCCATTGAGCAGTCCATACGAGCCATGGGCAATGCTGGCGGGCAGACCGCATTCAATGTCTGCAAAGTGAACGGTGTTAGAGTATAGGGTATAGCGGGCATGATCGACCAGGACCAGCGAAGGGCTCTACTTACATTTGCAGACGGGTGGAAACTCGTTGTAGAAGCCCGTTTCGAGGCAGGTGCGTGTCGCCGGTCCCACCAGCAAGTGGTTCGGATCGCAGCTGTATTTGATCTGGGCGCCCACCTCGTAGCCGTTGAGGGCGATCATCGTCGAGTTGGGCGGCTGCTCGGGCCGGCCGCAGGTCTTGGGCTGGTGCTGGCAGATAAAATTGAGCAGAGTGTTGCAATTGGTGTCGCTCCAGAGCCAGCCCTTGGAGCCATCGAAGCGGGCGCAGTCCTCGTCGCCGCCCGGATGATTCCAGAAGGAGACGGTCAGCTCATCGCCGTTGACCCACTTCCAGCTGCTGCGGTCGCTGCCATCGCGCACAGCGCCCATCCAGTACTGGGAGCTGACGTCGCTGCGATGGCGACGCCACAGCTCCCAGCTGATGAAGCCCTGCAGGGCTGGGTTGCTCTCGCTGATCAGGGTGCCGCCGCGCGACCGACAGAAGGACAGCGCATCGAGGAAATTCAATGGCTGCCGATTGTAGAAGATGTAGCACTTGCCGTTGTACGAGGCCAGGGCGCCGGGCGGCTGATCCCGGAACGTGGGACAGCGCTCGATGGGCAGCGCCTGATCCGTGTAGACGAATGCCTCGCATATGGACAGCGGATTCGGTGTGTTGTTCTCCAGATGCACGCTGACAAAGGCGCCCGGCATGGGCGGATTGCAGGGCAGGAAGAGCGGCTGGCCGGCCTCGAGGAGGCCGGTGAAGCGATTGCATATGGGATTCGTGCCCAGGTCGGGACGATTGTTGCCAACGCGCACCACAATCGTAGCCGGTTTGTTGCCTGTGGCAATGAGAGCAGAGCAGCAGACACAATCAGATGGGCAAGTGTGTGGCATGCAGCAAGCAGCATGCAGCATGCAGCATGCGGCATGTGGCATACAGCATGCGGCATACAGCATAGAGCATGTGGCGGGTCAGCCAAGTTCAGTGCGCAGTGAAAGTAATCATAAATATTCGGCTTGCATTTGCCCTCCCCCCCTGCCTCCCTCCCTCCCCTCCCCTCACCTACCTACGTCACAGCCAGGCCCTGCCAGCCAGCTGCACCACTGAGCCATTGCAAAATCACATAACACATTTTTTCGTCTTCTTCTTCTTCGTCTTCTCGGCGGCTGCCACAACTTGTTGCAGCCAAGTGAAAGCATTTGCCTGACTTGTTTGTCTACCCTTTCTCCCTGGCACTCTTTCTGCCCCTCCACCTCTCGCTCTCTGCTTCTATCTCTTCTACCTCTGACAGTTGTTTGCCTTAGCCGTGAGTTTTGGGGGCTACCCTTTGTGGAACCTGCGAACCCGTCAGGCGACTTCGTGCCGCATTCGCCTTCGCCTTCGCCTTCGCATTCGCCATTTGGCTAAAAAACCAACTGAAATCGGACAGCTAAGTGAGCACTCAATCTGCCTGGCTGTGCTCCACTTGAAGTTGATTCAATTTCGCCTTGAATTCAAATTAGAATACTTACAGTAATCGTGGCAATAGACATAATACTTCTCTGCCAAGGAACTCATTTTACTTCTGTAAAGAGTGCTGAGACTTCTGGACTTCTTACTCTATTATATACTTCTACCATGATGAATGATCTATCTATAAAATACATATAGATTTTCTTCTTTCTTTTTTTCTTAATAGCCCCAACTCCAATTCTAAGCTCAATTCCCATTGCTTTATAAGCTACTTCTACTTTATAGGTTTAAAACCCATTCAAGTCTTGAGCATGCTTTAAGCTCTCAAATAAATATAGTAATTAATAATAATAATATGTTGCTTGGCTTTATCAACAATTCATTAAATAGATTCATCTACTTTCATAGCTTTCTGCTATAGAATCCCAATGCCCATCAGCAAATAATATATTTATATAATTATAATCTCTTATTCTATAGCTATTTCTACAGAAATATAAAAGCTTCCAAAGTACATTAAAGCTTATAACTAAAAGCTCAGCTAAAAGTAAAAGCTTTAATCATATATTCAACCATTAGATTTATCCTTTCACTTAAGAACTTTATTTAGATATCATTCTATGACATTTAGATTGCCTAAGCTGAAATTTCTATATGTCTCTAGCACAAGCTTAAAGCTCTAGATAACTGTTTCATTCGAATGTCGCATCTGTAAAATCTATTTATTTTTTTTGCAGACAACTTACCGCAACAGGATTTGCCAAAGTCCAGACGCACCAGCTGCACCATATAGGGCTCCAGCAGATTGACATACCACCAGGGCGAGCGCTCCGGCTTGGTTAGCGAACAGGTCTCCGGCGTGAAGAAGGCGGAGGTGGAGCCATCGATGGCCTTCTGTGGTGCACCGGCGCCCTCAGTTGATATCTGCATTGGCGCCTTGCCCGCGGCCACGTTTAGCACTAACGAGATGAGAAATAGTTCAAGATAGTTGAGATTAAAGCGATGGCGAATTAAGATTTCATAGGTTCTTCGAAGAGTGCGTTGGGCACTCAAATCAAAGGCTTTTGTCTTATTGTTGTCATTTCCCAGACCCAGACAAGGTCCATAGAAGTTTGGCCAGGGCTAGCTCTGTGCATGGCCCTGACACGCTTACGGGACGGCAACAAAAGCCAAAGACCTATACAAAACAAAAAAAAAAAAAATAAATAAAAAAGTTCTCTCTAACTGCAAAATTTGTCAAGTTAAAGTCACAAACTCGACAGACCTTCTAGCTGGCTAGTAACCAATTAGTGGTTAGAACCCAGCGAGTGTTACAAGGCCCAAAACTAATTGCCTGTGTGTGTGTGTAAGAGATTAACAAACGATAAAAATACCCTCGAATCGAATCGAATGGAGTTTGGGGCAAGAGCCGTAAGATCTAGGGGGTAAATAGGCTTTTGTCTATCACATTTAGTGGGTTGACTTATGCATCGATAATATCTCATTGCTAGAACATATTCTTTGATAATTGTTATTTATCGATAGTGTAAAGATGCGAGCATATCGATAGGCTTTTCTTATGATCAAAGAGGAAGAGATATATCAAGTTGTGTGAATCTCGTTTCTATTGAGCTACCCTTTCTGTATTCCTTATCGCTGCTTGGCTGCCCTCAATCCCTGGCAAATCATCTGCTCAAATGCAGTTTATCCGTTGGTTTCATTAGTTACAGGGTATCACACTTATTTAAGCAAAAGTGAAATTTGGTCTTTTTTTTACCAACTTTTTCTTTCAACTGCTTTTTGTTGTAATTGTTGTTGCTTGGTCTTAATTACATTGCTACGCACTGAGTGCGAGTGTGTGTGTGCGTGTGTGTGTGTGAGTCAGTATGTGTGTGGCAGCAGTGAGAGATTCATTAATCAGATGCATCTGTCGGATAAAGAAGGCACACCGGCTCACTTGGCTCCACAGCTAGGCAGGCAGCGGCTCATGACGCGCTCTCAGATCGCAGATCGTAAAAATCTTCTGTAGTTATTTTTTTCTTTCTTTTTTTTGTATTTTATTTCAACAGACTTTCTACAGTGAGCAGCAACTGCTTCGAGTTATCTACGCTTATCTGGCTGGCAGGTGCCGCTCTTGGTGGCACTTCCAGCTCCATTTCCATTGCCATTTCCATCTCTATCTCCATTTTCAGTGTCAGCTTCAGCCTCAACTTCAAGTTCAAGTTTCAGCGTTAATTAAGTGCCCAGTTGAAGCGAGTTGTTTGTTGTTGACAAATGCATTCGTTTTGGTTGAACTATTTCGTTTCAATTTCATTGTGATTTGAGTACTTTAAAAATTATTGTGGCTCACGCAATTAGTTTGCATTTTTAATAATTTCATTTTAATTGACTTTCAGTTTCAATTTAGTATCAATTTAAATTGAATTTGATTTAGTTTTCTTCTGATTTAAATTTGCTGATTCAATTATATGTTTATTCAATTTCAATCGCAAATTTGTAAGCAATTTAAATTCAATTTAATTTACTCATCGTGCTAGTCGACGCCTAATTCACATTTCAATTTAGATTTGGAACTAATTTGATTTCAATTAATTTTCACTTCGATTTTTCGGCAATCTTCAATTAAATTTACTTTTATATTCTTTGACCTAGTTCGATTTTAAAGACTTAACCTCTTCAGCTACTCTTTCAACTTTAAACTCACTTTTCAACACTTTCCAACTGTGACAAATGCCTGTGGAAGTGCGCCCTACTTCTGCTTCAATTTCAATTTTCAATTAACCACAATTTCCAATTTGATGTTGGGCTCTTAGCTTTGGAGTTTTGCAGCACCGCCTGCTGTGTCATCAGGTTCCCAATCATTGCGCTCACATTCAATTTGGCGCTATGCTCTTTCAATTCCCATTCAATCCAGCCATTGTTCAATTAATCAATGAAACCGACGATTCGTACCGGCGGCTGTGGGCTGCCATCATTCAGCCAGCTGCCGCAAGCAACGCCAATTTGTCTGCAGGGCGCAATTTACCACTCGAAAATCAGTGACAGCCGTAAGTCAACAAAACGCAACGAAAAGAAAAAAAAAACCGTTAACGCTCAAGTCTTACAAATCTGGGAAACGTAATGACAACATATGACATACCGACCAAATCGAACTTTGAGCTCACTGAAAACCGAATCCAATCGCCTCTATTAGCAATCAACTCAGTTGATGATCGATAGACACAACTTGATATTGACTTGACTAAACATGTGAATGTTTGTGGCTGAGATATATCCAGATATCCAAAAGAATTTCCCCTCGTTTTTCTAAGCTCTAGCATCGGCATCATCTGCCTGCCTTGCTTTTCATTCAGCTGCAGCGCGACGCCAAACAGGTTCGCCCAACGACGACCAAAAATATGCCTCTAAACAGTTATGTAAACTATTCATGAGGAAATGAAAAACTAGTTTCACGTTGCGTGGGCGTCGGTAGCTAAACGATGCTCTGTGAAGAACCATTTGTCAGAGCCCATGCTTGGAGCAGATGGGCTGCTTAAGTAGCTATAGAAAGGGCCAAGGCTGAGAGACAATTGCTCCATTGAAATTGAACTCAATTCGTATCTCACTTAAATTAGTGAGTCTGTAGTAATATAAATCGATTTTTGAAATGAAGCGTTAATGAAATTTTAAGTCGCATTGCAATAAAAACTTAATTTCAATAAATTTTTAATTAGATTTACGTTTAAATTCCATTCCTATTCGACATTCGTTTAGTTTCAATTTAATTTTCATAATTTTAATTTCCTTTTAAGCTTATATTATTTGTTTGTTTTGTTTTTATTTTATTTATTTTTATTTTTTTTATTTTATATTCAACGACCATTCAATTAAATCACATTTCTATTCAGTTGAATTGAATTGAATTGAATTTTTAAGTCCAATTCGTCAATCTAAATAATTAAATTTCATTAATCGATGAGAATTTGTCTCATATTCTATTTTCATTTATTTTTCATCATTAGATTTTCTTACAATCTGCTTTTAGATTTCATTCAATTTGCACTAGACTTGAATTTGAATTAAATTTGTATTCAATTTCAGTTCAACTCTGTTTCACTTGCAGCTTTCATTTCGATCAAAATTTAATCGATCTTAAGCTACTTTTGAAACTAGTTTGACTTAAATTGAAATTTCTATTTTGTATTCCATTTCAATTTCGATTCGAGCACGACTTGCGTGAGCCGTTGCTGCTGTCAATCAATTTTCACGTTGTTTGCCTAACGGGCGGAAGTTGCAGTCTAGTCTAATTCACTTAGAACATTAGTTTTGTTGTATTTCGTTTTTTTTTTTCTATACATATTTTTCGTGGTGTTTGAGACGAGTTAAAATGGAAAAAAGATCAACAAACGAACTACTGAAAATGTGGGTCAAATCGTTACGTTCAATGTTCAACTCGCATTTCGATCGGACATGTTGCTGTTGCCGTATGTTCCGCCTTTCATCGAGAACACACACATGCGCACACACATACACACACACTCATATACAGGCCAAATTGTGCGTCGTGTTAATCATGTTTCACTTTGCATTTGGAATTGGATTTCGGTATTTGTTTTTTTTTTTTTTTTGCTTTTTTTTTGGAAATTGGAATTCCGATGGCGCGTGTATCATTGAGAACGTTGTCGTTGTCGTTGTCGTTGGTGAAAGTTGTSTGCACATATGGAGAGCACATGTGCCTTCGTTTTGGGCAGTCAGCTAAGCTGAAGATGTCGAAGAAGATGTTGATGATGAAGCAGAAGGTGCTAATTGAAGCTACAAAATGCTCAACGGGCCAATTGACTGCGGCAAGTTTGTGTCTTAAGTCTTTTGTTTACAGCAGGCACTTCACAATAGCCTTTAACAAAATTGAAGAGGCCTAGAGGGTGGGGTCACGTAAGCGTGTTGCAGGCTCCTGCATACCCTGTATAATTTGCATACGTGGCTATGCTCGACTGTGCAGCCGTATTATCAATAAGTTAGAGGTATTTGGGGTAATATCATACAGTCTACCCTTGGCTAGTTGTTTGATGGGTCTTTATGCTTAAGGGGTAAGTGATTATCTTGTCTTGTTGTTAGGTAAAAAGTTTAAATTTGTAGCCTAGAGCTGAAGGCTTATTGCATTAGTCTTAGAGCTTTTGGCGCTTTATAATATCTGCTAGTCAATATTATTTGAGTTGCTTTGTGAGTTTTTGCAGGGTAACTGTTAGTCTAGCTGTACTTACCACAGAACGGTATACCCTCTGGCACCCATTGACCCTTGTCGCAGACACGTCTGGCGGGTCCCAACAGCTCAAAGCCACGCTCACAGCTGTAGGAGGCGACGGTGCCCTGCGTTAGATTCGCGTTCGTGAAGACAACGCTGCTGTGCGCCGGAGAGCCCGGGAAACTGCAGCCTTCATCTAGAAAGAGAGAGAGAGTGAGGTAGAGAGGGGGATCTTAGTTAAGCTGAAGCATATTTTGATAATATTTGATTAGGCATTAATATTCATTTATGCAAGAGAACTTCGGCTCGCATATTAAAAGTTCATCAATAACAAAAAGGTCTTCGGGCCTTGGGATCTTTATACAGTTTCATTTAGTGGTCTCTGATTGATTTCTTAATTTAGCTGATTAGTTGATGCTTTAACCTAATTTTAAATTGGAATTTATATTAAAATTACTATGGGAATCATAGGGAAGACTTATGGGAGCTCAATTTTAACAGATATTATTGATGGGTTGACCCAAGGGTCATGCATTTTAGGCAGCCTAGAGCACATCTAGATAAGATCCCTCTTATATAAATCTTTAATCTAGATGGGCGATTGATGTGATAAGCCAGGCATTAAACTTGACCCTCAGGTTAGCTCATCAAGTTGATTAGCTAATCTAGACCTCAGCCTGTTCAAGCATATTTCACATGGATGATTTAACATTCCATTGCCAGATCTTCGAGGAAAACTTCGATCTCAGACAATAGCACAGTGGAGCTGCCTCTACCCTCACAAAGCTTCGTTATTTGAAATGCAAAATGAGAATCAGCTCAATGGAAACTGCATCGCGTATGCCATTCAGCTGCTGCTTGGACCGCTCAGCTGCATAAAGTCTTAACTGCAGATCAATTAACACTTTTCAGTTGCCGAGCAAACAAAAACCCAAGTTGTGCGAAGCTAATTTCATGGCGGATATTATTTCAACAGGTGTTCGGCATTCAAATGCATTTCCAATGCAGATCCTACGGGCTTAGTTTAGCTGTGGGTAATTCATAAAATGCGACGATGTCGACATTTGTCGGCCAACAACCTGTCAAATTCCCAAGCTGGCCAAGCTAGCCAAGCTGGCCAAGCTGGCCAAGCTAACTGGCTAACTGTGGCCAGAGCTCCCCAATGGCTTTGCGCTGGGCAATTAAGCAAGTTCCGTTCCAGTTTGGCTGTTCTTCTTGTTGTTGTTATTGTTGTTGCTGTTGTTGCTGGGCATTTTGTAGCCCGACTCGCTGGCGTTAGCGAAACGCCTCAAAAATGCCAACAATTCAGCATTGCAAAATGTTCTCAGCTCGCCGTTGCTGTCTGTCCGCTTGCAACTGCTGTCAATGCAAAGCGTGAGAATATAGCTGCAACAACAACAACAACAACAACAACAGTGACAACAACAATTGTCAAGCACAAGGCGAAAGCTTCCAACAGTGCAGTACTCTGTTAGACACCATATGAATAGGGCTGCTGTGTGGGCGTGGCTGGAGCGAATTATGAATGCATACATTAGAAACATTAAATATTCGTGCTCGATTCACTTCATTGAACATATTCACATATCCAACGATACTTGAGAGTGACTGAAATGATCTAAGCTAAATACACCCTGTAAAAATAAGAGAGATCAACTGGAATTGTTGTGACGGAATGCCGTACTGTGATAAAGTATTTATTGAAATTTATTTCGAGTTTCACATCTGTCTTAGAAGTTCAAAGAGAACAGATAATCGATAGTTTCAGCTGAAGCTTTAGCTGTAGCTTTAGTTAGTTAAACGTATAGTTAGTGCTTAGCTTGTAGTATCTTAAAACATTTTTGCTAAGCTTCGAAGGGTTTTTTTTAAGGACCTGGAATTGAATGGATTTTTAAACTTTCATTTTTACTTCAATTCCACTTCAAATTCAGGAAGAATATTCTAAGAGAGTTCCAATAATAAATTATACTAATCATTTATTTACTAAGACCTTTGGTAAGAGATATAGGGTATCTCTAATATCTATTAAAATTTTTTTCAAATTATTGTAATAAATTCCATTCGAATTCCACGCTTTTAAGTGGAAGTTCGACAAGTCCAAGAGAGTTTTGATCTCAGCAAATTTTATTGTTGGCAAATTGTAAATTTTAATGCTGAATGACAATTAATCTTAGCGTCTTATCAAGTGTTATAAGCTAAAATTGCATGGCTAGTGTTGTTGTTGCTGTTGCTGTTTTTAACAAATAAAAAACTTTCTTACTTCATTAGCAAGCAGCAGCCAGCAACCAGACTGAATAACTTAAAAGCTGTGAGATTTGCCAGCAACGTAACGTATGCAAAATATCTAACAATTGTTGCTGTTGTTGTGGCTGGTGTTGTTGTTGTTGCTATTGCTATTCAGTGATTATATTTTCAATTTAGTTAGTTCCCAGGCGCATTTGCATGTCATGACGTCTGAGGCGTCTGTTCATCATTCGGCTTTGAATTGTTGCTGACCGCTGGCCATAGATCATGATGTTGTTGCTGTTGTTGCTGTTGCTGTTGCTGTTGCTGTTACTGCTGCTGCTCCATATGTGAGTCAGTTAGATGTTGCTGTCGTGTCGACTGCAAATTCCAAGCTAAACATTATCATTCAACCGATGCAGACAGTGAGCTGAAGTTCTGAGCAGTTGTTGTTGCTGCTGCTGTTGTTGCAGTTGCTGCTGTGTATGTCATTTCATGCTGCACACAGCTGGCAGCTCATTAGGCAGCGCTTGCTTTATGGACTGTGCACAGTCTTGGGCATTCAGTCATGCCATAAATGCTCGAATAACTGCAGCATCATTTGACCAATGCAACTTTCCAAGCAGCTGCGGCTGCGACTGCGGCTGCAGCAGCAATTGTTGCTGGCGTGTTATGGCCAGTTGCAAGTGGCAGACAGCCGCTGCTTATACAATCAATGTCGAGCAATTTCATCATAACGGTTGCCTATTGCCCGTTGCCTGCCCCTTACCCAATGCAGCCTGTTGCTGTTGCAAGTTGTCTGTTGCTGTTGCCCGTTGCTTGTTGCTTGTTGCTGGCGGCACTAATCAAATCAGTGCAGCTAAATTTAAATTCATGAAACAAAACAAAACCAAATATAGCGGAAAATAAAGCGAAAGAGGGACAGAGAGAGAGAGAGAAAGAGAGAGAGAGAGGGAGGCAGAAACTGAGCAAAAGCAACAACAAAATTAAGAAATCAAGTTCATGAATTAATTTTCAATTTCAGTTTCAGTTACACAGCCAGGCTTCACTGTAACTCCCACGCTGTGCGCTCAAACGAGCCGAATACACACACACAACAAAAAAGCCCAAAGAAATTGGAACTGGAACTGAAGCTGGAGCCGGTGAACTGCTTCCCGATGTGAGCTAGGAAAAAGGTTGAGCCAAGGCGTCAGCCAAGCATGGAAATTGTGAAGAGATATATGTATACCTATACATACTTATAAATACATCTCCACATATATATATATACGTGCTTCATAGGGCTAGCTGTTGTTGTTGCTGTTGTTACCTGCCGCAACGTGCAACGTTTTGTTGTCAGCTTTTTGTTTGGTTTTCGTTTGTTGCCTTTGCTTTCATTTGGCTTTCTACGTGCGCCAGCCTAGTGAAAGTGATACCCCGCATATAAAGCTATAGCTATATATAAATATATACGTATATAAACAAGCAAACACACACACACACACACTAGTGGGCAGTGACAACAAGAGCAATTTGTAGAAAACAAAAGACGCAGCAACAACGTTTTTTTTCTTTTTCCACGTTTTTCTTTCGAGTTTTTCATAAATGCAATAAAAATCAACGCATATTATTCATAATAAACACAATAAACGTCATAATAATGTTAATCATGCTAACAATAATAATGAGCCATCAAAATATAACAGTTAGAGGCAGCTGTGGCTGCTGTTGTTGTTGTTGTTGTTGTTGCTACAAATTGGCCATCAGCAACAGTTGCTTTGAATTATCAAATTGTTTGCACAAGCCCAAAGTAAGTTGTGCGTGTGTGTGTGTGAGTGTTCAGGCAGGGAGGGAGGGCATAGGAGGAGGGGGGGGGGGGGGCACTGGGCAGTCAGTTAAACAAATTACAGATAAAAAGCATTCATCGAGCTAGAGAAGCACCAATAAAAAGCGAAAGCTTCGCACACCGGCCAGCCGGGTCAGCAAGGCCACAAACAATGCAGCAGAACATGGGGCCGCAAGGGGGGAGTGGCCAAAGGGGCGCAAAGGGTGTGTTGTTAGTGTGTATAGCTATAGCTGTTGCCATTGTTGTTGTTGTTGTTGTTGTTGTTGTTGTTGTTGTTGTTGTTGTTGTTGCTGTTGCTGTTGCTCTTTTCGCAGGTGAAATGTTAATTGCATGTGAATTGAATTGCACGTTGATCAGGCAGTCAATTAGTGTGAACTGTGGAACTAGTTCAATGAACTATGCGCCCAACTGTGTGAAACACAACCAGTTGTATGATGACTCACTCAGTCAGTCTATGCAATGAAATGTCTTAAGCTCACTCCAAGTTCAGACTAGCAAAAACGGAGCTAGAACAAAGAACTAGTTTAGTTGAACAATATGATATTTCGCATACTAGTTAGTTTAGGCAAAAGGTTTTAGCGGAAGAGTCACAAGTTTTCCACACAGTTAGTTTGCCAAGAATATCTGCAAATGAACTAGTTCATATGAGCCAAAGATTAAAACTTGGCAGCTTTACTGGTTTGGGCAAAAGAACCAAAATTTATGCAAATGAAGTTGTTCATGATCTTTCTAAGCTTGGATATGTAACTAATGAACTAGTTCTATCACTAACTAACTATAATGAGCTAGTTCCAGTTCGACTTTAGAGCAAAACGAATCTGTCTAAGAAATATAAGCAATTTAGTGTAATTGTGTGCTCAGAAAACAGCAAATTGAGCAGATGAACTAGTTCATTTGAGCTTTTATCTCAAGCTGACTAGGCAACAGCCACTCCTCAGCTTGCATTTTTAAGCATTTTCTGAGCACTGAACGCTTAACTTTAATAAGCAGCTGTGTGGTTAGAGCCATTTATCCCCCAATTTCTTTGCCCCCCTTCCTCCTCCCCTGCTATAGCAACCACTTCATAAGCTAATTGCTGGCTGCACGACGCTTTCTATTTGCAGCCAAATGGGCAATGCAACTTGTGGCAGAGATGCACAAAACAATTC